GAGGCGATGAAAATTGGTGGCTGCAAGACGTCTACTCAAATGGATATTCGGTAAGCAAGTAAAATCCGTTCTTTTTCTTTTTAATCACGTTAGCCTTTCGAACGGCTTTTTGAGCGAGGGAAATTTTAACATAACTAGCGTTCGACAATAGAAAGCAGTTAACTGTTGTCTTATGTTCAAATGTTAAATATTAGGGTGGCTCTTAAATGGCGTATTTAAGACGCTGGCCTAAACAGTTAAATTGATTGTCAAAAGATGGGTATCAATCGAAATGGATTTGAAAATAATTTATTTTTGAACTGTATTTAGGAGAGTTGCCATGTGCTTAAAAAAATTAAATTCAATTTAATTCATCGGTTAATTGCAATATGTATAAAAATGCCGGGCGAAAAATTTTAGTTGTTTTACTTATACGAAAGATTCATAAATAAAATATCGAAATATTAGTGTCAAACGAAAGAGTTTTAAGAAAACTATAGGCTGATAATATTTTTAATTAGAGTAACATCTATTTTTTTTTGAAGGTCATCACATCTGCACCGTATTTCGAATTTCCAATATGAGAAGTCAAATTAAAGGACTGGGACTCTACATAGATATGCACAGGTTATATTTTTTGAAGTTACAGGGAGATTTGAAATTTGATGAAATGAAAACCGACACCATGCCACCTCTCATCACTGAGAAATTGTTTAGATTAATCATTAGGAATATTTTTAGAGGATTTTGAATAGGGTTTCACCTGTTTAAAAAATTTAATTAAATGCTGGCGTTTTGACGCCATGCGGGTTCACTAGTTTCATATAATACGTCAACAAAACCGATACCCATTCGAAAATTGTCGCTAATTGGTTACAGAATCTGCCCCCAGACCTTAAAAAAATGATATTGTCCGTTACAGCTGGAACAAAAATACTTCAAACAAGTAAGAGTTTCTCTGCTTTATGGCCTAGGACCGACATATATACATATTTCATTTGAATCAGTATTAAAAGCTCTGAGAAAGAGTTTCGAATCGTGTTATCTTTGATGTAGACGTCTTCATTTTGGGACATTTTTAACATCAAACTGTGAGCACTCCTTTACTGGTGTTGCCAGACATTTCTTCTTTGCGTCTATTTTTTATGTCGCCTTTCGATTTTGGTTCTGAAAAATTTTAATTGTTTAACTTAATTAACAATTGCTAATATTTGTTCTTTCTTTTCCTTGATTTGATTGCTTTAATAAGCCATTGCGCTCAAATCAAATGCACATACGTAAACCGTGCCCAATAAACTAAAACACTTTGATTGGTATTGCCATAATGCCACGCTGCTGCGAGGCTGCAAAATGTAGACGCGTAAAAAACATACCTTTGAGTGTGATAAAATGTAGACGGCGTCGTTTTCCAATTTTGTACGTGAAACAACAACACCACAGATTTACGGTTAGAAAACGTCTTAAAATGTAGACGTCTGATTGGCTTGATGCCGTTTCGAAAGTGATATCTTAAGACAACAAGTTGCCCACATGGGAAAACGGGACAAAGTTAAAACAAAAATTTGACAATGTTAAGACACATTTAGTAGAAAATGGAGACGTGGGGTAAAAAATAATTAGGGGATTTCCGTAAACTCGTAAAGTCTTAAACCGTGTAAAACTCGTAAGTTTACGAGGCTGGTATGGAAATGCCCCCTTTCTGAAAAGGTGTAAATAGGTGCGTAAAGAGGACCAACCAACCAGGGTTTCGTGAAGCAATTTTTGTTTCGTACTATTTTCCATAACATGCCGCCATCTTGTCTCTATCACTCTTGGCTAAAATATAAAGGGTATTCCCTTAAACTTAAAAGCCTCGCAAACCTCGTAAAGCTCGTAAATTTTCGAGCCTCGTATAAGAACTGTCAAAATTTGTATGGAGCTCTATTTACGAGCCCCTCGTTAATTTGCCAGGCAAATTTTATGCGCAATGTGAGTAATTCCTCAAAACGTGATGAATTTCGGGTGCGCTTGAGTCTTTTTATTATGAGGAATGTTTGAGAACTTTTCTGTCCATATGTTTGCAAATAACGAATGCAACCGTGCTTTACGCAACAGAGTTGTTAAATCGCTTTGCAAATTTTTGAACAAAAAGCTTTCCGAAGTTTTATAAAGAGCGAAATACACCCCACAAGCGGCTTGTGTACAAAGGTTGCGCCAATCTCGGACCGCTATTCCTCTCTTAACGAATTTGACAGAATCGTTGTTTGCATGACGTCACACTTGTGCAACTTGTTTACGTTTTCCTTGCAACATTTTTTCTTCTTCTTCCATTCTTGCTCACGTTTTGGCAGTCCACTCTCGCAATTGCACCAGTGTGACGTCACACAAAAGTTATTCTCAAAAATCCTCTCTGATCGGCGCAATCTTGTATTCTATCATTCTTGGCTCTTAAGCATATCTGCATTGGCTGCTAAATATTCAAAATGTTATCGATAATTTTTTTCATTCCATCCTTATAATTTCTGCTTATTTTGAACTTGCAAAATCTCGGTAACGAATGGAGAGAACACGCATTATTCGATCATAAGGATATTCATATTGATTCTTCATTAGATCCAAAAAATTATACGAAAAAAGTTTTTGAATTTTTGCATTACTAATATAGCCCTTTTCTTATGCTTCAGTAGAACGTAGATCTAATAGTTTAAAAATGTGTAGGAATGACTTGAGGACCAGATTGAGCACTGATATAGTTACATCAATATTAGTGGCGTTCCCTAACTCGCAAGAAGTTGCAAGAATTTACAGGAATTTACCAGAAAGCGTTCCCGTACTCGGTTCTCTGGCTTCTATTGCCTTTTGGCAGTTTTACAGGTTTTAGCCCAGAAAAGTTGGGGAACGCAACTATTATATACAAACCAAGGCATAAAAAATAACGGTGATACTTTGTTTGAACTGAACAAATGTACCAATTGAATTGGAGAATGTAATTAATTTTTATACTAAGTACATGTAAATAGTATGCAGTACACAATTCTTATATCTGTAATAAGAAAATTTTGAGTAATTTTTTCGGAATTTGAGCATTTTTCATTTGTTTTTGGGGAATTTGGTAAATTTTTTGTGACATCACTGGCGCAAACGACCTCATAAACTTCAATGTTGCCGAGGAGCTGACGTTTTTATACTCAAATGTATGATAAAATAATGAAAATAAATGAAAAAAAAAATAAAAATCGAATATAATAAATGAATTTCATCCACCAACTGCATTGACTTAGCTTTTCTGCTAATTTTCAGCATTTGAGTGAAAATCTCTCAAGTGGGCCACCGAAAATTGGATGGTCAAGATATTTAGCACGAATTACTTTATTCAGTTTACAACCATAAAAAAATATATTATTTGAGCAATTTTGAAAAATTCGAATTTTTACAACAGTTATTAACTTTTGTTTTTGATGAATTCAAATTTTTACAAGAGTTATTGTTATTAACTTTTTATACCTTCCATGAGCATGAAATGGTATTATAACTTTGGTCCGATGTTTGTAAGTACCAGAATAAGAAGAGATATACCCATTAAAATATATACTTAAATGATCAGAACGTCGAGCTGAGTCGATTTAACCATGTCCGTCTGTCTGTCTGTCCGTCTATTTGTACGCAATCTAGTCTCTCAGTTTTCGAGATATCCGGATGAAATTTGGTAGGTGAGTGTATTTTTATACTGTACTAGCAGAGCACCCGACGTCGTTCGGGATAAACAAATCAAAATATAAAACAGTATTTAGTGCAAATATTCAATTCAGCATAAATTAAAGGAGACAAACTATACATTCCGTTTATCTGCCTATTCGCTTAGCTGTTTTAGAATAGCGCCACTTTTCCGGTAGAATACTTATTTCGGAAGGAGATTTATTCATTTGGGGTGTTCACAGTTCGTTCCAAATTGTGTCTGAAAATGTAGACGTCTACATTTTGAGACATTTTTAGCATCAAACTGTGAGCACCCCTTTCTAGCAGTCGTC